TTATAATCTTTCCTTATATCCACTTTTAGGTGATTTTAAATGCTCTTTTGGGTATTTAATGTGTCTTTGTAGTTGAGACACATAGATAATTAGGGCTTGGAAATTGTCAAAGCCTCCAAGAACATCTACATTGGTTTGGACAAATCTAGTATTATAAGAATAAGCTGCAGGAGGTGAAGAGGTACATTTGTGGGGGGATGGCTAGAGAATTTGCCTTTGGTATTACAGTATTTCAGACTGGGCTATGATTGGAAAATTGCGTTAAACCAGTTAAATGCCATTCCCTGTCAATTGAAAAGTCAATGTACTGACAATGGATTTGCTTTTAAGATAGAGCTTCATGCTCTAAGGCAATGGCTCTCAACCAAGGGTACGCGTACCCCTGGGGGTACGCAGAGAACTTCCAGGGGTACATCAGCTCATCTAGATATTTTCCTAATTTTATAACAGGCTACATAAAGAGCACTAGCAAGGTCAGTACAAACTAAAATTTCATACAGACAATGACTTGTTTATACTGCTCTATCTATAATCCTATGATTTTGGCATGGGTTTTTTTTTACTAAAAGTCATGGACAGGACATGGGCAATGCACAGTAACATCATGGAAACGTACACAGGGCTGGCATTAGGGGATAGCAAGCAGGGCAGTTGTCCAGGGCCCCACGCCACAGGGGCCCTCCCGAAGCTAAGTTACGGGTGGTGGTACTTGGGTTTCGGCTTCACAAGTGAAAAATAAGCTCAAGTATCATTTTGAAAGGTAAGTACAATATTTATATTCCAATCACTTTGTTTTATAATGATATGGTAAAAATGAGAAAGTCAGCAATTTTTCAGCAATAGTGAGCTGTGACACTTCGGTGCTTTTTATGTCTGATTTTGTAAGCAAGTAGTTTTTAAGTGAGGTGAACCTTGGGGTATGCAAGTCAAGTCAGACTCCTGAAAGGGGCACAGTAGTCTGGAAAGGTTGAGAACCACTGATCTAGGGCAAAAAGAAAAGGAGTACTTGTGGCACCTTAGAGACTAACCAATTTATTTGAGCATGAGCTTTCGTGAGCTACAGCTCACTTCATCAGATGTTTACTTCACTGATGAAGTGAGCTGTAGCTCACGAAAGCTCATGCTCAAATAAATTGGTTAGTCTCTAAGGTGCCACAAGTACTCCTTTTCTTTTTGCGAATACAGACTAACACGGCTGTTCCTCTGAAACCTGATCTAGGGCAGTTTCCCTTGACACATGCATGTTTTTAATGTCAAATTTTACCCTTCAGGCTACTGCCTAGGTTCTACTATGAGCATGTTCCAGTGGGTCACAAGGTCGTTCCATCAGTAAATTGGCATTGTCAAGCAGAAAGCCTCTTCTAAAACCCTCTGATGGATAAGAGCTGAAGGCCTGATTTTTAAACGTTTCCAAGCATACTCGTTGCAGATTAACCTTGCTGAAGCTTTGGACAGAGTACTGTTGAAAATTAGGTGATTGATGGCACGGAGGTCTCAATGCCTTGCTCTCCATTTGCAAGAAAGAAGTGCAGTTTTACTAGATATTGGTGATGTGGCTGTATTCTGGGGATCTATAATCTACTATAACAATAAGTCATCAATTACGAGGACTTGAAGGTGGTTTGCTTTGTTTTTGTAGATCAAGTAAAGGTAAACACTTAGCTTTTACCATTAAAAGACAATTTAAATAGGACAGAGGTTTGTAGGTTGCATCCCTTTCCCCTTCTCTGTAGCTTGCCTGATTTCCTGGGCATCAACCACACTGCGGGTTGCATTCAGAATAACAATATGAGGTATGCTGGGGCCAGTTCTCCTCTCACATCAGCTTCTCCATTGATTTCATTGCTGTTACTTGTGATTTAAACACATATAAGGGAGAGCAGAATCAGGCCCACATCAACTCAAGCAGAGATTGCAAGCTGGCCTTGAGTCCCAGCTTGTTTTAAGATGAACTCTGTGCTGAGTCAGTCTTCAGAAGAATATGCATTAGGAGCCATCACTTTATTTGCTCTTTTATATGTATTCATTCGACTTTCTGAGTCCTGATTTTCAGAGGTGCCAAGTCCCAGCAACTCCAGATGAAGTCAATGGGAGTTGCAGGTGCTCAGCACCTTGGCAGATCAGGCTCTAGCTCAGTGATTCTCAAAGCCGGTCCGCTGCTCGTTCAGGGAAAGCCCCTGGCGGGCCGGACCAGTTTGTTTACCTGCCGCGTCCGCAGGTTCAGCTGATTGTGGCTCCCACTGGCCACGGTTCACCGCTCCAGGCCAATGGGGGCTGCGGGAAGGGCGGCCAGCACGTCCCTTGGCCTGTGCCACTTCCTGCAGCCCCAATTGGCCTTCAGCTCGAGGACCTTTCCGTGTGAACAGCCCTACGAGAAGAGTTATGACTGAGTAGTAAGGCTGCCTTTGCCCATAAACCCTAATGCATGCCCTTGGCCTGAAGTTTTGGAGATAAAACTAACAAAACAAATCTGGGAAAGGTTACTGTTTCTGCTGGAGCTGCGTTGATGGCAGGTGTATTTTGAACTGTGCTAACATACCTTGTGGAACTGTGTTAAGGGTTTCCCACTTAGTCTGCACATCCACTGGAAACAGAATACCTAGTCTAGGGTATGGGATTGAATCTTGATTTCCTTTCTTTCTTTCTCTACCACTTCACAGGGAAACAAAGCAAATGCCTTGGGCAGATAGCTACTGAAAAGGGGGTTTTATATAGTTGCAAGCCAGTCTGTCCCCTTAATGAACAATTGGCTTGCTGCACTGTCTGACTGTTGATAGTTCTGTAAGAACCTTGATGGTATGTGAAGCAGCTTTAATTCCTTTTTATCAACAAGAGTTGCAGGTGCATCTTCCTTATATTTTTTTTAAAAAAGGCAATGCTTAAAAATTGGTCTTTGTTTCCAAGGAAACAAACCTGACATGCTTGAGCTGCACGAGTTGCAAACGCTTACATTTAGCAGACATGCCGCAGGATTATATGGTCTGCATATTATTTTTAAATTACCTTCAATTTAAAGGTAAAGAGAGGAGGAGGGGATGGAATTCGTCAGCAGGCTATGCCAATTTGTGTGTAATTAAAACCTATATAATATCTTAGATTTGCCTATTATGATGTAAGGAGAACACTGACCTGCACTGAAAATGACGGACCTACAACACATCCCCATAAAGAAAGTGTCATGGGGCCAAATTGCTACTTCAGTTTGTGAGTATGGGTGATATGATGAAATGTTTTGGGAGAACTAAAGGCTTGCGTGGATATAAACACACACTTTTTACATAGTAAATTTATCATGGGTCACTTTACTAACTGTCTTGCATAATGACAGGTTTCAGAGTAGCAGTTGTGTTAGTCTATATCCGTAAAAAGACAAGGAGTACTTGTGGCACCTTAGAGACTAACAAATTTATTAGAGCATAATCGGATATGAAGTGAGCTGTAGCTCACGAAAGCTTATGCTCTAATAAATTTGTTAGTCTCTAAGGTGCCACAAGTCCTCCTGTTCTTTTTACCAACTGCGTTGTACTCCAAAATATACTCTGGTGAAATGCATCTCACTGATGCTCTGCTCAAAAGGATGTGTGAATAGTGAATGTCAATACTTTGAAAGTGAACGGGAAGCCATCATCAACACTTTACTACCCCCAAAATAATTTGGTTAAAGCTAAAAACTACTAATTGGCTGTGGAGTGCTATATTGAATTTGTGTGCGTGTGTGTATATATAAATTGTCAATTCATTGCATACCAAATGTAAGCTACATGCGAGAAATGTCCACCTGGCATGTGAGTATGCTGTAGATAGATGAAAACGGTACCTTTAACTTGGTTTATTTCATTAAATATATTTGAATCCCCTTTTTGTCATTCGGGTGGCTCTAATTTGCCTCCTTGGAAATTTAGCTTAGAAAAAGAGGCACTCTCCTGACCCAGTTACCCGCTAAGCTAGTCCAGGGATTCTGTGAAATGCTGTGTTGTGAATATCAGGTTGTTCTTCGAAGGCCCAAAACAGTTGCATTGAAGTAGACACTGTACATGAACTAAAGAAGTGTTAGTTATGGGATGCATAGAAAACCCCAGTGTCAAGTAGTGGTGCGCATGGACGGTTAACTGATTTCAGTGTCCAGAGGTTTTTTGGCTAAGACCCAAGATAAGGAGTAGGGTGTAAAATAAAACTTTGTCAGGGCCAATGGCTAGTTTTGTGCCCATTCCTGCAAACCGTTACTCATACAACTAGTTTTTCCTTATGTAAGTAGCCCTGTTGAACTAATGGGACTACTCACGTCAGTAAGGAGTGAAGGTTTACAGAAGAAAGTTCATCGTTTTCACAAGAAGAGTAGTTCACAAGATTTGCACTGTGCCAGTGAAAAATGCCCGATGGACTTCAATATTCAGTGACTTTGTGTATTTTGTAATTTGTAAAGAAGTTTGGAGGGAAAAAATACTCTATGTATTTTGCTGAACTAGTGTTGAAAAATGAATTGAGGGTTGACTGGACAACAACAAATATCCTTGTTTGTTTGGTTTCTTAAAAATTAATTTGATGTATGTTGCAATTTTCTTTTCCCATCATGCGTTGTAACTTTCCTTTGGAATAGTTTTCCAGGTAATATAGACTAAATTAATGTAGATTTAGTTTTAAGATGAAAAGCACTATTTGCATAGTGCACTCAAAGCATCAGTTTAAGTCTGCTGTAAATGCATTTTTTAATGACTTCTTATGAAAATGTTCTCATCTGTGAAAGGCCTAAGGTGAAAATATGCTAGTTTCAGTGTCACTGTTAAATGCTACTTTTTGCATAAAGCTTGCCAGAGACAAGATGTTCTCCTTGCTTTTGTTCTAAAATAATGCTTGACAACTGAAAATGCAGCCTGCATTCCACATATTGAAAGATTAACCTTGATGACACAGTGGATGGAAACAGTGAGGTTGACTGGATCATGATGAATCCTGCACCTTTTTTGCTAATGACACTTCCTTATGCTTACATTTCATTAAAGCTCTGAAATGGCTGAAGATGCCTTTACTGAGCATGCTCCAGGGTGGAAGCTGCACCCATAGAGTGAGATGGATTTGTGGCTGAAGGAGTTATAGGCCTGAAGTCAGGATCTGGAAGGAAACAGCAGCTCTCTTCAGACAGAACCACAGAGGTAGGGGAATTCTGGAAATTTAATTCACGTGCCATGGGGCTTCCGTAGGGATTCTGATTTGGGAGTAAATAGACCAGATGGAATGGTTCTTGAGGAAAGTGTTGGAATTGATTCAAAAACAGCATAGTTAACCACTCACATAAGATGGCTTCAAACTGCTTCCTGCTGATCAGCGTGGAGGATTTTAAAATAATGACCTTTACTGACTTGCAAACCTATATAAAGAAAGAACCTGTCTAATGTTAGGGTTATGACATAAAGCAACAACAGGCAGGCCACTCGGAGACAGGGCTGGCAGCGAAGGCTTTGGATTTGTCTGATTGTGCCTTCATGTTGGAGAACATGTGATCACGCTCAGTGTAGGATTGTGGTAACCTCAGTTGTTAATTATTATTATTTGTAACACTGAAAAGGAGCAGATCTACATTTCAGTTTGAATCCAAAGCTGTTTGGGGTTATGGGAGTGCAAAGGAATGTAAAACTAACTCCCTTTTTTATTTTGCATTCAAATGATTATAAACAAATTAAACTCCATTAAATCAATTGTCTTTCTAATTTTGCAAGAAGTGGGGAAATATATATATTCTGCTCCTTGGCCGACATGGTGATTTATGCTAGTTGTCAGGCTGGAGTCAACAGGGTTTAGTGTTGGCAAGTAAGTTTGAGGAGAAGAACAGCAATCTGTTATCTGTGTTGGGTTGGGTTTTTGCATTGGGTGTGCAGTTGCTAGCTTTTTCCATGGGATTTTTAATCACCAGCTGACTGGTGCAGTAGAAGGAGGTGATTGACTTCAGTTGGTGTACTAGCAAGCCACATGGTATAGTGTTAATAAAACATTTAAATTGGCTGTCAGTGTTTGTTGTAGGGAGGTGTAGTGACAGTCTTACTTAGTGTAGAGAAAGGGGGAAGTTTGGTGATTATAGAAACATCTAGTCAGTGCTGAGATACTGTATATACTCTATGGGGAACATGGTATTGGCTGTCCAAATTCATATCAGCCTGGTTCTAAAAAAAGATACAAATGAGGGTATTGGATTTAGCACAGTATGAAGAATGGAGTTTTGGAATTATAAAGTTAGTGCATTTTGCATTTTTCATTAACAGAAATCTCTGTGATTACGGTCCATCTTTAGACTACATCCGGTAAAGGAGTTTGACTCGTTAGGACAACTCTGGTTATTCCTTATAATGTACTTTAATGTGTGACTGTTTAAGAGTGAAACCTGCAGGTTTTGATTTTATTGCTCAGTTCCAGATGACTGCCTTACATGGTTAGATCAATCTGTTGAGTGATGAGTCAGTTTATTACCTAAATTAAGGTGCATATTTATTGCCCAAACCTGCATTTCTTGCACATCCAATTCTCCCATTGCCTTTGCTGAGAATTGTTAGAGCACAAGGAAAGCATGACGCAATCATTAAATAGCTTGTTTGATTTATCAACTTTGTAGTAAGTTTGGTGTCAGTTTTAAAGTGCCTTTCAGAAGGTCTGTCCTGCGCCTCAGACCTCTATGGTACATGTCTGGATATATAGCATTTCTCATTAGTAATAGGTGATGGTGGGCTAATAGTGGAGGAGTGTATGAGGAAAAAATAAGTGTGTGTATATGAAATACATGGATTGTGACAATGCAGTTTATAAGCAAAGCTTTCATTTTCATTGGCTCATATGTGGAATATATTTATAGCTTTTCATGATTGATCTCATTGGCTTCTTCTCCCTCCCCCACTGAGTCTCTGATGTTGAGAAAATTGGGGCTGAAATTATCATGTATGGTCAAGTCTCCTGGAAGAGGAAGTTTGACTTAATAGTTTCAGAGGCTAAGGCTCATGTGACACTTTCCTACTGTGTTTGTGTGAAAGGTAAGATAGCCTTAAAGGTCCACTGCCATCTCATGGCAATTGCTGAAAAGCAGTCCCTTTTAGAGACAATTGAGTGTATACATCATGCTTTGTGTGTTTCTCTCCCCTTATTGCTAGTGATATTTGCATGAAGACAGGATCTTTGCTTTTAAGAGTTCATTTCCTCCTGCTCTCCCTCACACAAATTCATTATGTCAACCGAATCACTTACAGAGCCATCACCTGTGATATTGCAACCAGAGGTTGATGATTTGGGGGAATTAATAAAAGCAACATGAACAGATGAATCCCAAAGATAATATTTTCATGTGGCTGTCTGTCCGTAATGCTACAAAATTAGGTGGGAGGTCAGTAGAGGGAAATACAAGAACATATGAAATTTAGAAGCAGAATTGTCTCTAAAATGATCTTCAGCATTTCAATGGAGCTGCAGCAAAAGTGAGAGTGAATGGAAGCAGCCATCTTTACTGCCTGCTTCACTGACATAAGGCTATGATCATGACTAGTATGACTTTGCTCTGTGGATCCACTGAAATGTCTTTGATCCCTGCCACGTCTCCCCTCCCAAAGAAAAATAACAATACTTCTCTTTGCTGAGCAAATGGTTACTGTGGTTAAAGCAATAAGCTGGATCTCTGTTCTTGAAGGTGAAATATGCATGATGCATTTGGTACCCTGGCAAAGCTTTATTTGTACAGTACAAGCTTCCTGTGTGCAGAAGCTAAATGAAGGGGAAAAGTGGAAGTTTTGCATTTCCAAAATAGAAATGTTGATTGCCAAGTAACTGCATGTTAAAGCTGAAGGAATTTGTAAATTAGGATTGTTAGGAATACAGTATGTTCTGAATTACATACACCCTGTCTGCCCATTATAAATTTAACCTTTTCGTTCTAGGGCTGCTATATTAATGAGATATTCTGCACAGTCTTATAAAAACGCAGGAGCATCTTCCAAAGAGCTCATATCTCACCAGCATCACCACAGCGTAGGGTTTCACAGCATTCTCAATAGACAGTCACGGGGCATTTTTACACTTCAGAATGGCTAACAACAGCATCAGACTTGTTGAGTTTTTGGCTTTAAAACCTTTGAAGACACCTAGCTTTCAGAATGTGGGGTGGAATGTGATTGCAGCAGCATAATTCACAAGCTGACCTCTCAGAATATTATCGAATTATGATTCCTGCGAGGTGCTGAGCGAGCATTCAGCACCTTCTACGCCCATTCGAATCAATGGGAGCTCAGGGATCCAGCCTTCTGTTTAAGTAGGGTGACCAGACAGCAAGTGTGAAAAATCGGGACGGGGTGGGGGGTAATAGAAGTCTATATAAGAAAAAGACCCAAAAACCGGGACTGTCCCTATAAAATCAGGACATCTGGTCATCCTATGTTTAGGACATAATTCCCCTAAATAGTCATTGAGGGAGCAAGGAGGTGTTCTAAGAGATTGTGGTGACACCGATGAGCAGTTTTTTTAACAATGGAAAAGTAAACAAAGGTTCCAAGAGAAGCACCCTCATTTCTAGGGAAAGTTACTCTCTCTCTTAAGATCACCTCTTTGCCGTACTTTTAAGGTAGCTTCAGAGAAGACAGAAAAGCAACTTCATTTCTGGGTAGATGTGAAGTATGAATTGGAGAGGGAGGCAAAATATTGCTCTTCTCACAGAAGGAAAAACCTCCCTTTTCCTCCCACTTTTATTTCTGTTGTGAAAAGGACATATATAATGGTGTGAATTAAGCAAAAGCTTCTTAGGAACCATGAGTCCTTTGTGAAGGAAGATGGTTGTTCTGCTGTCTTTCTCTTTAAATGTGAGGTCCTAAAAGGATATTCAAACTCTGAATCACAGAAATGAGGCCAGAGAACCAGGAGTTTAAAAATAAGATTCCTGTTGTTTTATGGTCCCCTGTAGAACACATTTAAAAAAAAAAAAAAACAAGTGATAAGCTGTCCCTGGGAAAGGCAGTCCATACTAGAGAGAGTTTGAGGGTGAAATTTCTCGGGTATACTTAGGTTAATTCAAGGGGAGGGGGAAGGAAAACCTTACTTGGAAACAATTGACTGTTTTGTTTAATTTGTGTGTGAATTCATTCAACTAACATCCATTTTAGAGAAAGATTTGATTTTCCTGAGGGGTGGATGGAAAGGAAAGATCAATTCAACTTGATTTTACATGTGTAAAGTCACTGAATAGTTAAATTGTTCAACCATCTTCTCATCTGAAATGTCAGTAGTTTTCTGCTTCAATCTGTGTGTGTGAGAGAGCATGCGAGGGGGAGAGAGAGAGGCAAAAGATGGCTCCTCTTAATGTCTTGCAAGATCTGTCTAGAAAGAGATTGTGTCTGTGCACTGCCTGGCTTCCATGAAATGGCTGCAGTTTCCACAACACTGAGAGAGGCTGAAAGGAAATGGTCTCCTATCTGAGCATGCTTACTGTGGCATAGGAACCTGTAGAGGGAGCTAGGTCATGTGGCCTAAGCAGGAGTGTTGTTCATGTGGACCAAGAAAGAAACAGCAAGAAGCACTGTCTATAGCTTCCATCAAATACCAAGCACCTTAAAACAACACTCAGCTTTGCCCTGGGCATCAAACAATAACATGATAGCGTTTGGGTCTGACGGGACACAGTTAAACTCCAGAGCTGCGAACAAGACTGTTGTTTAACTTCACTCGTAGGTATTGTAACTGATTATCTCAATGTGACTTGCAGCATTCCATTGAACGTTAGTTCCAATTTCTCTCCTGAGACATGATGCACACAACAGAGTTACTTTAGGATATTGGCTTTTCGATGCCAGTGTGATGCAGCTTATGGTATGTGCAGTGTTTTAAGGGCCATTTAGAAGCTATTGTTTTCTCTTTTGCCTTCATAAATGTAAAGAACTTGACCATTACCTCACCAACCAACACACAAATAATCTTGATCCTTTTATATAGTGTCATTGTGACTTTGTGAAATGTTCCTGGTAAGATGCTAATTGATTGCTTTGCTTGAGTTTTTAGTATAATTGCTGAAACCGTCCCACTGTGTTGTCTGAGGATCATCAGTGCTTAGTGCTTTGGAGGAGGTGCTTTCAAAATGGAGGGGAGATTTGAAAAGCAAATTGGAGTTTGCATTAACTTCTGTTTTCAGTGTCTC